TTTGAAAATGCTGTTTTCTATGCCTAAAACACTTTCTTCCTCCTTAACCTTCAGCAATTCTTCAAATCTCAGTTCAAATATCACTTTTCTTGACTCTCTGGTTAGGTGAAATATCTTTATTTTAGGTTTTCATTAATACATAGAAGAATTGGCTGAGTGCAGTGGTTTGTGCCTGTGATCCCTGCACTTTGGAAAGCCAAGGCAGGCAGATCACCTGAGGTCAGGAGTTCGAGACCAGACTGGACAACATGGTGAAACCCCATCTCTACAAAAATTAGCTGGGTGTGGTGGCATAAGCCTGTAGTTTCAGCTACTCGGGAGGCGGAGGCAGAAGAATCGCTTGAACCTGGGAGGCGAAGGTTGCAGTGAGCTGAGATCGTGCCACTGCACTCCAGCCTGGGTGAGAGTGAGACTCCATTTCAAAAAAAAAAAAAGAAGAAGAATTAAAAATTTTCAGTTTTATCTGGGGTCAGTGGCTCACACTTGTAATCCCAGTACTTGAGAGGCTGAGGCAGGTTGATCACCTGAGGTCAGAACTTCGAGACCAGCCTGGCCAACATGGCAAAACCTCGTCTATACGAAATACACAAAAATTAGCTGGGTGTGGTAGTGGGCACCTGTAACCTCAGCTGTTTGGGAGGCTGAGTCAGGAGAATAGTTTGAACCTGGGAAGCGCCGAGGTTGCAACGAGCTGAGATTACACCACTGCACTCCAGCCTGGGTGACAGGAGCGAAACTCCATATTAAAAAAAAAAAAAAATTAGTTTTTGTGATCATTTGATGAATGCCTTCCCCCTTTCCTAGAATGGAAGCTCCAAGAAGGCAAAGATCACGTGTTTGTACATACGGCAGAGTGCTTCATAAACACTGTACTCAAAAATTATCTCCACAATGAATAATTGCGAGACTCAAATGCAATTCCAGCAGGCAGCCACTAGGAGGCATCTTTGCTACATTGATACTTGAGTATTATCATCATCAGTGTCTATAGGGTACCAACACTGACAAGGAAAAATCTATTCCCACCCCCTCCCTCACACACAAAAAAAAAGCTAGAAGAAAAACGGCCGTAAACCATAAGGCTGTGTGCTAAATACTAGCATTTAATTTACTTTAAGCCAATAAGTACTTCCATGCACAAGCTAAACTCAGAAAACCAATTGTATAGGCTTTTTTTTTTTTTTTCCTTTTTTTGAGACAGAGTCTCACACTGTTGCCTGGGCTGAAGTGTGGTGGTGCAATCTCCACTCACTGCAACCTCTGTGCCCCAGGTTCAAGCAATTCTCCTGTCTCAGCCTCCCGAGTAGCTGGGATTACAGGTGCCTGCTACTACGCCCAGCTAATTTTTTGTATTTTCAGTAGGCACGGGGTTTCACTATGTTGGCCAGGCTGGTCTCAGACTCCTGACCTCACGATCGCCCGCCCTAGCCTCTCAAAGTGCTGGGATTACAGGCGTGAGCCACCGCGCCCGGCCAGCATAGCTCTTTTAAAAATATTTTTTCTGAGGCCGGGCGCGGTGGCTCAAGCCTGTAATTCCAGCACTTTGGGAGGCCGAGGCGGGTGGATCACGAGGTCAAGAGATCCAGACCATCCTGGTCAACATGGTGAAACCCTGTCTCTACTAAAAATAAAAAATTAGCTGGGCATGGTGGCGTGTGCCTGTAATCCCAGCTACTCAGAAGGCTGAGGCAGGAGAATTGCCTGAACCCAGGAGGCGGAGGTTGCGGTGAGCCGAGATCGCGCCATTGTACTCCAGCCTGGGTAACAAGAGCGAAAACTCTGTCTCAAGAAGAAAAAAAAAAAAAAAAAAATTCTGGGCTGGTTGCGGTGGCTCACACTTGTAATCCCAGCACTTTGGGAAGCTGAGGCAAGCGGATCACCTGAGGTCAGGAGTTGGAGACCAGCCTGGCCAACAAGATGAGACCCTGTCTCTACTAAAAATACAAAAATCAGCCAGGTGTGGTGGCACGTGCCTGTAATCCCAGCTACTCAGGAGGCTGAGGCAGGAGAATCAGGTGAACCTGGGAAGTAGAAGTTGCAGTGAGCTGAGATCATGCCACTGCACTCCAACCTGAGAGTAAGACTCCATCTCACACACAAAAAAATTTCCAAGTATCAGAATAATGGTTTGAAAAGTAGTAAGACAAAGCCTTTTTAGCTTAAATATTAAAATCTAAAAGGTATCAATATTTTTGAAAAGAAAATATTTATGTTACAAAAAAATCAAGAGGAAAAAAGCTTTTTTATCACTAAAACGATTTTGTCTTGTATAAGCCCTTTTATCAAAATTTTAATTTCTGTATGTATTTACAAAATTATGTTGAAATAAGGTAACTTCTACCAAAAACTGTCTAAACTTGCTGTATCAATTTTTATTCCTCCTAGTCAAGAAGATAGTTCTTTCTTTAACCCGAATCATGGTTGCGGTCTCCCTATTCCACCAAAAGCTACTTTCTTTGTCAAGGTCACCAATGACCTCCACATTCCTAAATCCCATGGTCATTCAATCCCCCCTCCACCTAAATTACAACAGTAATTGAAACACCTTCTTTCTGGAAACACTTTCTTCACTTAGCTTCCAGGGCACCCTCTCCCAAATTTCCTGCTATTCAACTTACAGCTCTTAGCTGTTTTACCTTGTTCTTCCATTCATATCCCCTTACTCTTTTAAAATTTGAATCCAACCCTCAAGTGGAATCAGAGTACATCCTCCAAGTCTGAATAGTGAGAGTATCTCAAGGCTCGGCCACTAGACCTTCCCCCTTTTCTCTCTGTACTCAATCCCTACATGACCTCAAGACTTTGGATACTATCAATATGCTACTGGCTCCCCCACATTAAAATCTCCAGCCTGGACCTCACCTGAAATCAATTCTTATAATGGGAAGCCAAATAGGTTCCACCATCTTAATGTCTAAAAAGTGCCTAAAGGGTAATGTGTCCAAAACTGAACTTCTAACCTCTCCTTTTCACTGATGTTCCAGTCATTTCAACTCCATCTTTCCAGCTGCTAGGTTAAAAATCATGAGTAGTGGCCGGGCATGGTGGCTCAAGCCTGTAATCCCAGCACTTTGGGAGGCCGAGGCGGGTGGATCACAAGGTCAAGAGATCGAGACCATCCTGGTCAACATGGTGAAACCCAGTCTCTACTAAAAATACAAAAAAATCAGCTGGGCATGGTGGTGCGTGCCTGTAATCCCAAGCTACTAAGGAGGCTGAGGCAGGAGAACTGCCTGAACCCAGGAGGTGGAGGTTGCGGTGAGCCGAGATCGCGCCATTGCACTCCAGCCTGGGTAACAAGAGCGAAACTCCGTCTCAAAAAAAAAAAAAAAAAGTCATGAGTAGTAGTTGGACGTGGTGGCTCATGCCTGTAATGCATACATATACACACGTTGTGCTGGATAGAGTGGCTCATGCCTGTAAACCCAGCACTTTGGGAGGCCAAGGTAGGAGAATGGCTTAAGCCCAGGACCAGCCCAGCAACATAGTGAGACTCCATCTCCTCAAAAAAGAAAAAATTAGCTAGGCATGGTAGCTCACGCCTATAGTCCCGGTTACTTGAGAGGCTGAGGTAGGAGGATAACCTGAGCCTGGGAGGTAGAAGTTGCAGTGAGCTGTCATCATGCCACTACAATCCAGCCTGAATAACAGAACAAAACCCTGTCTCTTAAAATAAAAACAAATTTGTATTTTCTCAGAGACATTTTCTTTGGAAATACCACCCCCATCTAGCATAGCCAAGATAAGATATCTTTTTTTTTTTTTTTTTTTGAGACGGAGTTTCGCTCTTGTTACCCAGGCTGGAGTGCAATGGCGCGATCTCGGCTCACCGTAACCTCCGCCTCCTGGGGTCAGGCAATTCTCCTGCCTCAGCTTCCTGAGTAGCTGGGATTACAGGCACGTGCCACCATGCCCAGCTAATTTTTTGCACTTTTAGTAGAGATGGGATTTCACCATGTTGACCAGGATGGTCTCGATCTTTCCACCTCGTGATCCACCCGCCTCGGCCTCCCAAAGTGCTGGGATTACAGGCTTGAGCCACCGCGCCCGGCGCAAGATATCTTAATAGGTATAATTCTCTAGCTTCCTTTCTAAAACCAGATAGACCAGAAATATAACTTTTTTTTTAATAGTTATTTCACTTCGCTAATTAAAGAAAAAAAAGAGGTTTTGAAGGCTCTCAGGAGGAATATTAAGGGCTAAAGTAGGATAGGATACTTAAAAATAGTTTAAAGGAGGCCGGGCGTGGTGGCTCATGCCTGTAATCCCAGCACTTTGGGAGGCTGAGGCGGGAGGATCATCTGAGGTTGGGAGTTTGAGACCAGTCTGACCAACATGGAAAAACCCCATCTCTACTAAAAATAAAAAAATTTGCTCGGCTTGGTGGTGCACACCTGTAATTCCAGCTATTTGGGAGGCGGAGGCAGGAGAATCGCTTGAACCCGGGAGGCAGAGGTTGTGGTGAGCCAAGATTGTGCCACTGTACTCTAGCCTGGGCAACAAGAGTGAGACTCCATCACAAAAAAACAAAACAAAAAAAAAAGTTTCAAGGGTAACATTAAGCCTAGACATAGGCATATACTTCTTTAAGCATAGATAGAAACTAGCAAAACATTGAACGTGACTCATAAACAAAGGGCAATTGTTGGTGAAATAGACACGTAAACCTTCCCCTCAATTAGGCTTAAAACACACACACACACACACACACACACACACACACACACACAGTCTTGTTCTGTCACCCAGGCTGGAGTGCACTGGCACAATCTCCTGACCTCGAGTGATCTGCCCACCTCAGCCTCCCGAAGTGCTGGGATTATAAGCATGAGTCAGCGTGCATGGCCTCGATTAGGTTCTAAAACATTTAACAGAATATCATGATAGGTCTATACTCATCATATGCCAAGTAAGGGTTTAGTTCTCAGTCTCCTCTTTTATTTTGTCACTGTATATTGTAGAAAATTCAATATAATTTCACCAAATTAAGTCCCACTTACCAAGTGCTCTTGCTACTGCCAGAAAAGGAATCTGATCAATAACTGTGCTCCTTCGAACAGGTCCATTGTGAGTGAGCCGAGGTCGTTTCCAGACTACACGATTCACTCCAGACTTGTTCATCACACTAAAAATAAATAGAGTTCACATAAATAATCTAAATGATTAAAATGTAACAACTAAGGTAGCTCAATATATTAAATAACTAATAAAACAAGACTACATTATCACAAAATAATGCCTTATGTGTTTCAGATACAAAGATGCATAAGCTGAAATTCCTGTTCAGAGAGGAAAATTTTGAGATTACTGGAATAGGCAGTACAACCGAATGAACGAAACTGTGAAGAAAAGTGAGTTTAACTACCATGTCAAGGAAAAAAAAAAAAAAAAAAGCAAAATGACTTAATTAGCAAGCAATTGGGGGTCGGCAGAAGACCTTATCTAAGTGGAGAGAGAGAACTGCTTGAACCCAGGAGGTGGAGGCTGCAGTGAGCCAAGATCGAACCACTGCACTCCAGCCTGGGTGACAGAGTGAGATTCCGTCTCAATAAATAAATAAATAAATGGAGAGGGACTAAATCATGATATAAGCAATTATAAAGGAAAGGTTATAGAATTCTGAGGGTTTCTGTTGGGGATGGGGAAAACATAGCAGAACTTTTTACAATTTTTATTGGTGGTGGGTTTTTTTTTGAGACAAAAGTTTTGGTCTTGTTGCCGAGGCTGGAGTGCAATGGTGCGATCTCGGCTTACGTCAACCTCCACCTTCTGGCTTCAAATGATTCTCCTGCCTCAGCCTCCTGAGTAGCTGGGATTACAGGCATCTGCCATCATGCTTGGCTAATTTTTGTATTTTTAGTAGAGACAGGGTTTAACCATATTGGCCAGGCTGGTGTTAAACTCCTGGCCTCAAGAGATCTGCCTGCCTCAGCCTCCCAAAGCACTGAGATAATAAGCATGAGCCACCGTGCCTGGCCTTCCATCCCTTTTGAAAACTAGTTTTTGTTTGTTTTGTTTTGAGACAGGGACTTGCTCTGTTGCCCAGGCTGGAGTGCAGTAATGTGACCGTGGCTCACCACAGCTTGACTTCTAGGGCTCAAGTGATCCTCCCACCTCAGTTTCCCAAAAAGCTGGGACCACAGGCATGCACCACCACATATGGCTAATTTTTAAATTGTTTTTGTAGAGAATAGATCTCACTATGCTTGTAAGGCTAGTCTTAAGCTCCTGAGCACAAGCCATCCTCCCATCTGGGCCTCCTAAAGTGCTGGGATTATAGGCGTGGGCCACCATGTCCAGCCAAGAACTACTCTAAATAAGTTCTGAAATCAACATGTTGATCATCACAAGAGTTAAAATATCAAAGGTATTCATTTTATTATATTAAGCTTTCTTCAGCGATGATCCTCAAAAGTCAACAGCAGAGTAAATACTAAATTTGTCATTCACAAGACTCCATGAAACATAGAGTTATGGTAAGATGCCAACATTCTGCCCTAATACCATCTTAAAGCTCTATTATTGTTTCCTAAACCTGCTCCCTAAAATTTAAGACTGAGTACTTAAGTAATTTAAAGTAGCTGCTTCCAACGTAACTAGGACAAGCAGCTCTCCTGACACTTAGTATTCAAAAATACTATGATCTGTGTTTCTGAGAAACAAAAAGACAAATAATGATACTGATTAAAACATAGAAGTTTTAGGCCGGGCGCGGTGGCTCAAGCCTGTAATCCCAGCACTTTGGGAGGCCAAGGCGGGTGGATCACGAGGTCGAGAGATCGAGACCATCCTGGTCAACATGGTGAAACCCCGTCTCTACTAAAAAAATACAAAAAATTAGCTGGGCATGGTGGCGTGTGCCTGTAATCCCAGCTACTCAGGAGGCTGAGGCAGGAGAATTGCCTGAACCCAGGAAGCGGAGGTTGCGGTGAGCCGAGATCGTGCCATTGCACTCCAGCCTGGGTTAACAAGAGCGAAACTCCGTCTCAAAAAAAAAAAAAACATAGAAGTTTTAAATCTAGTAACAAAAAACCAAAGCAATGGTATAAAAGATGCTGCTTTTACTGCACTCCATGTTGTTGTCCTGTATGATTAAAAGGCATGTAAAAAGGAACAGCCTGACATGCAGAGAGCTGACTGAGCAGCAACAGAAGGCTGGAAAAACATAATGCTGGCCTGTTGCCTAGGCTGGGACAGAGGGAAGCAAGGAAATAACTTATAATAAAATAGCTCAATTTTTGCAAAAAGTTACCTGCTCCAAAATGGCACAGTATCTGTCCAACTGTCCAGATGGTATTTTTGGCAAGAAAGCCAAAAAACTCCTTCTAAAAAAGTTATTAAAATCAAATAAAATATAATTTTAAAATTCAAGTGAAAAAAACAAGAAAAAAATAGTCATATATATTTTTAAACACAAAAGGGTAATTTCTTCTGTAGAAAATAATTATTTCTTTTGTTCATTTATTTATTTTTAATTATAAAAATATTTTACATAGAGATGGAGGTCGCTGTGTTGACAAGGCTGGTCTCAAACTTCTAACCTCAAGTGATCCTCCCATGTAGGCTTCCAAAGTGCTAGGATTACAGGCATGAGCCATCACAGCCAACAGCTTTATTTCTTTTTCCTGACACATAGTTTTTACTCTTGTTGCCCAGGCTGGAGTACAGTGGCATAATCTCGGCTCACTGCAACCTCCACCTCCCGGGTTCAAGGGATTCTCTGGCCTCAGCCTCCCGAATAGCTGGGATTACAGGCATGCACCGCCACGCCTTGATATTTTTTTTGTATTTTTAGTAGAGATGGGGTTTCACCATGTTGGCCAGGCTAGTCTAGAACTACTGATCTCAGGTGATCGTCCGCCTCAGGCTCCCAAAGTGCTGAGATTACAGGTGTGAGCCACCATGCCTGGTCCCAATAAAAGTTTTTTGTTTTTTTTTTTTAAGACGGAATCTTGCTCTGTCGCCCAGGCTGAAGTGCAGTGGTGCGATCTCAGCTCACTGCAACCTTCGCCTCCCAGGTTCAAGCAATTCTCTGCCTCAGCCTCCTAAGTAGCTGGGATTACAGGCACCTACCACCCGCACAGATAATTTTTTGTATTTTTAGTAGAGATGGGATTTCACAATCTTGGCCAGGCTGGTCTTAAACTCCTGACTGTGATCCACCAGCCTCGGCCTCCCCAAATGCTGAGATTATATAGGTGTGAGCCACTGCGCCTGGCCAAGAAAAGTATTTTTTAAAAAAAGATTAATGAAAAGGAATCGGGCCTACCAATACTAAAAATTACAATAAAGTCTCAGTTTTAAAAATTACAATACTGGTAAATAAGCAGAGAAAAAAATAGCCCAGAAAAGACCCAAATAAATGGAGGAATTCTATTTATAATTTGCAAAGCCCACTTAGCATGACAACCAGCAGAGAGGTCTCAGATATATTCTGACCTTCACAATCACAGAATCAAATAAACTACAGCCAGAAAGGAGGTTCATCTAACTTTGCAGGATATTCGGCAGGAAATACAGTACGCCGCCATATCGGCTTCAAGGATGTTGTCTTCAGCAGTAATTCAGACAGCCAGAGCCATTTTTTAATCTCCCAAGTCATGGTTCAGTTGTAAGCAAGATGACAGGGTCTAGCTTAGGTAGGCTCAGGCGTCACAGAAACCTATGTAATAAACAGCACATGACTATAGTTTCTTGGTCCCTACACAAGACAAACTACACGCATGTAAGGAAGCCAAGGTCTGTGCTTCTGAATAGAAATGTATAGTCCATTCAAAGACTTCCCTACCAAGATGCAATTCTGTTCAAGGATCATTCTAAAATAAGCAATGCTGTCTTATAACAGAGGTGATATCCACATTTATCTTAACCAGAGAAATACAAGGAGAGGGTAAATTCAAGGTTATCTTCCCAGTGAAGACGGGTCTTAAGCCTGGTCAGCCTGCTACTCTGTAATGAAAAGATGTATAATTATTCAAGTGGCTACTAATAGCCATCTAGAAAAAAAAGTTAACTTTTATATTTACTACATAACTTAGATCTTAAAATTCCAGAAGGACTGAAGATTAAAATATAAAAGATGATGAAACCATAATAGTATTGGGAAAGTTTTTCTCAAAATATGGTTTAGGGGCCCCAGCATGTTCTGAAGACTTTTTCAGGGTGTCCTCAAGGTCACTTTTTTTCTGATAATACTACTAAGACCATATGTATACAGTGGAGTTTTCTGAGAGGCTGCATGACTGGATATGATACAATATAATAAAAAGTGTCAATATTTGCAAGATCTACATAACTCAGTGAACCAGGATATTACAAATGATAAATGCATATATTAAAAAGTCATCAATAGGGACTACTGCGTACTGTATGATTCCAACTACATGACATTCTGGAAAATGCAAAATTATGAAGGCAGTAAAAAGATCAGTGGCTGCCAGGATAAAGTGGGAAGGGATGAATAGGCAAAGTACAGAGGATTCTTAGGGGGATGAAACTAATCTGCATGATACTATAATGGTAGCTACATGTCAAAACTCATAAAATGTTTACCCAGAGTGAACCCTAATGTAAACTAAGGACATTGGGTAATAATGATATGTCACTGTAGGTTCACTAATTGATTATAACAAACACTCTGGAAAAGGATGTTGACAGTGGGGAAGCCTGGAAGGTAGTGGGGAGGGCAGAGTGTATATGAGAAACCCTGCCTCTACTAATACTACAAAAAAATTAGCCGGGTGTGGTAGCGCATGCCTGTGATCTCAGCTACTTGGGAGGCTGAGGCAGGATAATCGCTTGAACCTGGGAGGCAGAAGTTGCAGTGAGTCAAGATCATGCCATTGCACCCAGCCTGGGGAGCCTGGGTGACAAGAGCAAAACTTCGTCTCAAATAAAAAAAAAAAAAAAAAAAAGAAACTTACACAACCAAAACAATGCTGGTCTTCTCACTAAATGTTTTGGAAAAACACATAATGGGTTCGTAATTGCTGTTTTTAGATGAATTAACAAGACAAGAGGACTGCTTGAGCCCAGTTTGAGACCTGCTAGAACCTTTTCTCTCCAAAAGAGACAATTTTTTTTTTTTTTTTAAAGAAAAAGGAAATTAGCTGGCACAGTTGCACAGGTGCACCTGTAGTCCCAGCTCTTAAGAGGCTGACGTGGGAAGAACACTTTCCTTGAGGCCCACTGATATATTATTTCCTTTTAGAGTCATTACCAGAAATGAACAGTCAATTCACAATAATAAGAAAAATACGAATGCACATACATGGGTACTACATCAGACAAACTAAAAAACCTGTAATACTAAGAAAGTAACTTCAATAAAAGGGAGAGTAGTAGGTCAATTTCATTAGTAAAGCATAAAAGGACTAAATAGAACTCAGAGAGAAAAGAGAAAACAACTGAATGTTACCTCCCACCAAGTCCTTCGATTCGTTCTCTTTCCTTGGGAAGTTCTGGCTTATGGTCTTGTGTCACCTCCACAGCTCTGACAAAATCATCCTTCGGGTCATCCTGAATTCCAAGAACCACCCCTGAGTCACCTACGTGAGCTACATACATCTTCATGCCCCGTATGATGACCACACTGGCAGTTGTCCCTGATGTGCTGGGAAGACCTGTCATAGTCTTTGGCCATTCCGCTGTAATAAGAAATAAATATTTTACTCTTACAAATATAAACATTAATACACTGTCAGGATGCAAATGGCAACATACCCTGAATGAGCATGTAAACATTAGAATTAGCATAGGAAAAAATTTAAGAAAAATTTAAGAAAACTACTAAAGGACTTAGGTTAATCAATCAATACATTAATAAATTAATTCTACAAATAATACAATTATAATACAACTATCAAACCAATCCTAACAGAAACATACCACATGATAGGTTTACTACTGCTACATAACTCTTAGTCCTAACTACACTGAAAGGAAGAATGTTTAAGAGGTTTTTTTAATCTGAGTCTGTTTTGATTCAAAAGAGTTTTGCTATCATTTAGCCAGCCACTAAGCATCTGTTTACTAATCTAATCTCTCTTTGAAAAGGCTTTCTGAAAAACCTACTTGATTTGGTTTTTATTTTTATTTTTTAGACAAAGTCTTACTCTGTCACCCAGGCTGGAGTGCAGTGGTGTGATCTCGGCTCACTGCAACCTCTGCCTCCCAGGTTCAAATGATTCTCCTGACTCAGCCTCCCAAATAGCTAGAATTACAGGTGCCCACCACCATGCCCAGCTAATTTTTTGTATTTTTAGTAGAGATGGGGTTTTACCATGTTGGCCAGGCTGGTCTCAAACTCCTGACCTCAACTGACCCACCTGCCTCGGCCTCCCAAGGTGCTGGAATTACAGGCGTGAGCCACTGCATCTGGCTTGATTTGTTTTTGAAGTAACTATTTTGAATAGTCACTACTTAACAAATAACATTTACTGAGTTATTACCAGGTCCTATACTAAGAGCTTTACATATATTATTTCAAATAATGCTTGTGACAAACTTATGAGACAGATAGGACTATTTCATTTATTTATTTTACTTATTCTTCATCTTGCAGATAAGGATATCAATATTTTGAATAATTAAGAAAACTGCTTAACTCAAATATTTAGTGGCAGAATCCCTGTATATTAAATTACAAACCCTATATTGTTTAATTAAATTCACTGTCATTAAACAATTCTAAAGAATTCTGTAACACTAAACAAACTACAACTTATAGTTCATGATGGCAAAGTAAGTCCAAACAATGACATATTCTCCCTACCAAAATCCCACTGAAAGGCCAGAACATAAATATTACAGAAGGTCTGGCCGGACACGGTGGCTCATGCCTGTAATCCCAGCACTTTGAGAGGCTAAGGCAGGGGATCACCCGAGGTTGGGAGTTCGAGACAAGCCCGACCAACATGGAAAAACCCCACGTTACCAAAAAAAAAAAAAAAAAAAAAAAGGGCCGGGCGCGGTGGCTCAAGTCTGTAATCCCAGCACTTTGGGAGGCTGAGGCGGGTGGATCACGAGGTCAAGAGATCGAGACCATCCTGGTCAACATGGTGAAACCCCGTCTCTACTAAAAATACAAAAAATTAGCTGGGCATGGTGGCACGTGCCTGTAATCCCAGCTACTCAGGAAGCTGAGGCAGGAGAATTGCCTGAACCCAGGAGGCGGAGGTTGCGGTGAGCCGAGATCACGCCATTGCACTCCAGCCTGGGTAACAAGAGTGAAACTCCGTCTCAAAAAAAAAAAAAAAAAAAGAAAGAAAGAAAAGAAAACGTCCACAGCAGTTATGAAACACGTAGAAAGGTCAAAAGCAAAGATGAAGAGTTCCTGGAAGTTTAAACAAATAGAATTATGTTAAGGAAAAAGTCAAAATGCAGTCTTATAATCCAACATAAGCAAAAAAAAAAGAACAAACAGTAATAGACAGTAAATGAGTCTTCCCTTTTTAACAGTTCCAGCAAAGTTCGAAAGGCAGGGTGGTAAAGGACGAGGGCAGGAATGGATGGTAGGAGGTTGGCAGAAAAATTTTCAAACTGCAGAAGATGGATCAGTGGCTAAACTCTCCACACAGTAAGGTGAAATATTTAAGTTCCCAAAGTGCCACTAACTGTAACACCTCTCTTTTAAGGGAAGTGCTAATTTGTTGATGGGTGAGATAGACTCTCAAAAGGAGGTAGAAGAACAAATAGAGCCTAATAAAACTAAGGAGGATAGAGCAGGTGTGGTGGCTCATGCTTGTAATCTCAGCACTTTGGGAGGCCAAGGCGGATTACTTGAGGTCTGGAGTTTAAGACCAGCCTGGCCAACGTGGTAAAACTCCGTCTCTACTAAAAATACAAAAAGTAGCCTGGTATGGTGCCGCATGCTTGCATAATCACAGCTACTTGGGAGGCTGAGGCAGGAGAATTGCTTGAACCCGGGAGGCAGAGGTTGCAGTGAGCCCACATTGTGCCACTGAACTCCAGCCTGGGCAGCCTGGGCAACAAGTGGGAAATTCCATCTCAAACAACAACAACGACAACAAACCAGAAACAAAATAACAACAACAAAAACTAGGCAGAGTCCCAGATGACTTTCATGGCTACAAAGATCATCTCTCTCATATATTCAGGTTAACTAGTCCTTTTATTTTCCCCAACATTATATACTCTGAAAACACATCTTCATACCCTAAAATAGCATGTGTATCTCATTATATCCCTCAATACAGAATGTCCTGTCACTCACAGCAGAGTGCTACATAGAATATATGAAATAATGACCTCCACAACTGTTGAGAGAAAATAGAACAGGTGTCAATATTGAGTAAGCCAGAAATTCATTCATATACACATACATATACACATATAACGTGAGTATAAGCAATCAAGAATTATCAGATTATTTGATATAGGAATAAATACATACATGTAAAGTCACCTGCATCAGTACCAGACACATAATAAAGTGCTCAATAAATGATAGTTCTTGTTGTTATGACTCCTATTTAAGAAATACAAACAAGCCGGGCACGGTGCCTCAAGCCTGTAATCCCAGCACTTTGGGAGGCCGAGGCAGGTGGTCACGAGGTCAAGAGATCGAGACCATCCTGGTCAACATGGTGAAACCCCATCTCTACTAAAAATACAAAAAATTAGCTGGGCATCGTGGCACGTGCCTGTAATCCCAGCTACTCAGGAGGCTGAGGCAGGAGAATTGCCTGAACCCAGGAGGCAGAGGTTGCAGTGAGCCGAGATCGCGCCATTGCACTTCAGCCTGGGTAACAATAGCGAAACTCCGTCACAAAAAAAAAAAAAAAAAAAAAGAAATGCAAAAAAATCATACACCATAATCAAGTGGAATTTATTCCCAAGAAAAGAATAAACAAATATACTAAAGTTGTAGAATACATAATCAACATGCTAAAATCAGTTCCATTTCTATTCACTAACTGTCCCAAAAAAAGTTAAGAAAACAATCCTATTTACAATAGCATCAAAAAGAATTAAATACTTAGGAATAAATTTAACAAAGGAGGTGAAAGGTCTGTACACTCAAACTGTGAGATACTGACGAAAAAAAGCTAGAGAAGACAAAAATAAATGTTAAAAATCTGTGTCCATGGATTGCAAGAATATTGTTAAAATGTCCATACTACCTAAAGAGATCTACAGATTTAAAGCAATCTCTATCAAAATTCCAATGACATTTCCCACAAAAATATGAAAATTTTTAAATTCATACAAAACCACAAAAGACCCCAAATAGGTAAAGCAATCTTGAGAAAGAAGAACAAAGCTTAAAAGGCATCACATTTCCTGATTTAAAACTGTAGTACAAAGCTATAGTAATCAAAACAGTATGGTAGAGACATAAAGATACACCAAGGAAATAGAAAAGAGAGCACAGAAATAAACCCACGCATATATGGTCAACTAATCTTCTGACAAGGGCTCCAAAAAATACACCCCGAGGCAGCCTAGCCAACATGGTGAAACCCCATCTCTACCAAAAAATACAAAAACAAAACAAAACAATACAACAACACACTAAGGAAAGAATAGTTTTTAATAAATGGCATTGGAAAAACTGGATATCCATATGCAAAAGAATAAAATTGTACCCTTGTCTTACACCATACACAAAAATTAACTGGAAATTGATTAAAAACTGAAATGTAAGATTTGAAAGCATAAAACTCAGGCCAGACATGGTAGCTTACACCTGTAATTCCAGTACTTTGGGAGGCTGTGGCGGGCAGATCACCTGGGGTCAGGAGTTCCAGACCAGCCTGGCCAACATGGTGAAACCCCGTCTCTACTAAAAATACAAAAATTAGCCGGGTATGGTGGCACAATCCTGTAATCCCAGCTACTCCGGAGGCTGAGGAAGGACAATTGCTTGAAACTGGGAGTTGGAGGTTGCAGTCAGCCAAGATCAAACTACTGCACTTGTGCCTGAGTGGGTCAGAGTGAGACTCCACCAGAGAACAGAGAGAGACTGGGAGGGGGAGGGGGGATGGGAGGGGAGGGAGAGGGAAGAGAAGAGAGAGAAAATAACAGAAGAGAAGACAAGAGAAAGCATAAAACTCCTAGAAAAAAAAACAAGGAAAAAGCTCCTTGACAGTGGTCTTGGCAATTACTTTTTGAATATGACACCAAAAGAAATGACAACAAAAGCAGAAATAAACAGCCTCTTACATCGAACTATGAGGCTTCTATATGGGAAAGGAAACCATCAATAAAATGAAAAGGCAACCTACAGGAGAAAATATTTACAAACTTTCGACAGGGTCTCAATATGTTGCCCAGACTGGAGTGCATGCTATTGACAGGTATGATGAAGGCATACTATAGCCTTGAACTCCCGGGTTCAAGGAATTCTCCTGTCTCAGCCTCTCAAGCAGCTAGGACTATAAGCATGTGGCACCATGCCTGGCTATGCCCTTTCTTTTTAAACAAGTTGAAGTAAATTAAAAAAAAAAAAAAAAAAAAACTTCTACTACAATAAATATGAATGAATAAACGAGATGAACTCTCAGAAAAGAGCTCTAAAGCACATTCAAAAAACAAAACTTGGCAGGATACAGTGGCTCAAGCCTACAATCACAGCATTTTCGGAGACCAAGGTGGGAGGATCACTTGAGGCCAGGAGCTCAAG